TAAAATAGTCACATTAATAGCTGTCAATCGTGCAAAATAGATTAACCTTTTAAACGGAAGTGGGATAGGTTTTCATGTTTTTCCTTTTCAAAAATGAAAATAAACTGTGTTTGCTGATTACGGAAAAAAGTGAAAAACAATTTTTATCACAGGTCTGACTTCACCAGATCCGGTTATTACAAATTTTCAAATTATTCATTATTATTTTCATCTTATCCGTATCGTGCGATATTTCGTACAGTTCACTCAAGGTTAAAATATTAATTTAATTTACACGGTTATTTTTTTACATTTTACCAAGTAAACGCTACAAATTATCGGTGATTGTTAACTAGCTGGGACAAAGTTGTTCCCTCTTACGTGCAATTAATCATAGTTAATTAAGCAGTCGTTGATATCATATTACCGATTAAACTGGTTAATTATAAGTGTTTTGCGGTCTTCGGCTGGTTCTGACATCTTTCATTTCGTTGGTATTCCTGTAGAAACATCGAAACTAGTTTAACTCTGGGCAAGGGCCAATTTTCGTCTTCGTCCTTTTTCACCCCTGCCATTTGCAGAATTCATTTTCGAAAATTCATTTAAACCTCGGATTAGAACTGAACACAACTATAAAACGAAATAGTATAAAAAACTTGTTAGACGGCTAAGGCCAGGTCTTCCCAACCACCAGACATAACCACCACGATAAGGCTATCTGACGCTAAAAATGCAATAAAAAACATGATTGAAAAAAAGAAGCAGTGTCATTGGGCCAGATCGGCAGAGAAGTACGTATCAAGAGCACTGTCGATCATCGGCCCTTGGAGGATTTGACTCGTATAGGGTTCATCCTAACAAAATTTAGGACAGGCCAAACCAGGTTGACACATGGACAATTACATTTAGGCATATTGACAAAGATTGCTCGATGAGCCCGATCCTATTTAACGGTGCAATTCCTTAGCTTCATATAAAGAGCGCGTAGGAATATCGCCGGATAAGAATCGTTCTTGAGCACGGCAGCGAGAATCTGATTCAGGGAAACAGGGTTGTAGTATTTTTGTGTAGCTACTGTGTGGTGAAAGAGAATGCATTTATTGGCGTGAATGCGTAGTTTGTGAAGGCCGTTGGCGGATTGAGTACCCTATCGTCTCTTAGTTTGGTTAATTATATAAGTGTAAAAGGTGATTGAGGAATTTATTCATCACCCTAACTGAGTGAATAGTTTTTAAATAAGAAAGACTGTATTTAAGTATTTATGTATTGGTTGGGATAAAAAAGTCAATGTCACGAAGGAGATTCGAACCCACGACCTTCGGCTAAATACGCCCCTGCTTTACCACTTTAGCTATCGCGACTTCGATCCACTCGGACACTAACTTCCCACACCAACCCAAACTTTCGAATTTTCCCTCCTTTTTGCCACTTTTCAAATTTGGTCAATCGGACCACGAAATCTAATGAATTTAACTGTATTTAAGATTGAACGAGAGTGTGAAATGATTTGGATTTTAAAACCGATCGCGTTCTGGGCTGAAATGACTTTGCTGTTGCTACACCCTGGAGATAAACTTCGTATGCTGGACGGATAAGTCCCAGGTCTGATTCCAGACTGCTGACACGCGCGGATTCTTGAGGCCTGTCGGTAATTTATTGAAAATTGCATAGGCTCGAGTAGACTGTGATAAGTGATAGACTCAACCCAATACACGCGGCTACGCACTGGGTGATTATTTATAAACTATCCCCGTTTTTTTCTTTGTTTGAAAATAATTTTTAAAAAAATTGGACTCTACAAAATTTTGTACGTAGAATCTGAATTTGAAATGAAATTTTTTTTTCAACCTACGGAACGCCCCCAGGGCTCAGCAACTTTTTCACATGGAAATATATCATTTTCAATACTAAATTAAATTCTACGCATTTTTAAGAAGATTTTACTTCAGGCACTATTCTAGTAGAACTTGTCGTTTAAGAGTTATTAAGGTTTAAAAAAGTTAAGTTTAAATTAATTACTAATTACTAATTCAATTACCGCTTGCAACTTTATGTAGTTAATCCTAATAAATTAAATTTTCAGAATTGGCACCAGCGTTCTCCATACAAAACAAAATCGTATTATGAAATTTATTTCGCCCGTCACGAAAAGTATCAGATGTTATGCTTCTACAACTTTCTTTGATCTTTTCCTTCAAATCTTATAGATTGTGTGAAGGTGATAGGTACACCATTGTTTTAATGTCCCCACAAAAAAAAAATCTAAGGGTGTTAGATCTGGAGATCTCACTTGCCACTCCATGAACCTCGTCTCTTGTGTAGTGAGGTGGTGCCCTATCTTGTTCGAAAATAATTTATCCTTCCTAAAATTCTTCGTTTTCTTCCACCAAAGTCGCTCCAATCAACGGGCAAATAATTTCTTAAAAGGCTTATGGTAATTTTCTCCTCTTAAATTACGATCGAAGAATAAAGGTCCTATGATGTGGTTCCTTTAAGTTAATAAGAATGACTATTGAGAAATATATGATTTGATTTTTTTTTCAAACCCTAATAACTCTTAAACGACAAACTCTACAAGAAAAGTGCCAGAAATAAAATCTTAAAAAAGTCGGAAAATTTAATTCCATATTCAAAATCATACCTTCTCATTAAAAATAATTATTATTCAGAAATCATGAGATGCGGTCTGGTGTGATGTAGGTTTCAGAAAACATTTTCTTTATCGTGCCAACATTTAACAAATACATTTAGGATGTGGAAAAGTGAATTTGTACAATGTAAAACATATTTTTTATATTCAATCAAAGTTGCTAAATGTAAACAATATTTGTAAATCCCAGGCCCAGAAGATGATCTCAATAAAGTTCAACGAGCGTCTCCCATCAGTTAATGTAGTCCGCTTCCTTGCCTATACAATGACAAATGACTTACATGCGACTTAAAAAACAGCATACAACAGACGCTTTAGACTACTTAAACGATTGCAGTACAAACGATCAAACAAAACGAACGACAGAATTTTATAACTATTTTGAGGCCCATATGCATATATAAAAAATCGAACTTTTGGAATTCAAAAAATCTTTCAAATCATCAACATATACTATCTTTAAAATCCAAAATCCTTCGAACATCGTTAATACTCCTTCTATGTATACATTCTTACAATTCACAACGTGCTAAATATCCAATATGTTCTTGAAGTAGCCCAAAAGAACTACATGAAGATTAAAGACTTATTTTGCAACAAAAACCCACATGTCATAAAAGAAAACGCTTGAAATTTAATCGCAAAAACTAACAGAAGTAATAATTTACAAGTAAGTTTAAATAAATTTTTAACTAAGTAACTATTTGTTATTGTACATCTCGTTAAAAAATCGATAAAAAGTATCCTTTGTGTTTGTCAAATAATTATTTATGGTTTAAATATTAAATTTATCCTGTGCATTAATAATAAACAAAATATTAAATAATTAAAATTGTTTTATTTAAACGCAAATCTGTTTTCTGTTTTTATTTTGTTTGTGAAAGTTTTATTAAATCATTTTTTTAATCTATCTATTGCACTTATCACTATTGTCAAATATTATTTTTCTTTTAAAGTTTATAGAATGTATTTAGACAAGTTTCATTCGTTAAAGGTATTGTCGAACATGCACTTGCATGCATCCATAAACACGGTTTGCAGTTAAGCGACCCATGTTAATTGTTTGTATCCAGTCTTGCCGCAACCGTATTTTGAATAATAATGTTATTGTTATTGTTGTAATAATGTTATTACCGAGAATACACGATTGATGTTCGTGCTTAAATAGTTTTATTTTGTTGAATTTAAAACGCGGTTTAAACTTCGGCTAATATGAATGTCTTTTTTGTATTAAAAAACTACAAGCAAGATTGAATTCGGCCATGTTTTAATATAAGCATGACGAACATTTTTAACAGAAATATTTTCTACATGGGAAAAACGGTTGACGATTGACAATCGTACTTAAAAAAAAAGTTATTTTGAAAACTAAAATTGAAAAGCCCTATTATCGAATGGGTAATGATAATGTCAATCTTAACCCAATACTGCGTTACTTATATATTTAATATATTTCTATATTGAGAAATTGAACCTATGTTGTTATAATATTTAATTAATTGAAGATAATAAAAGATATTTGAATGGTGATTAGTGACCGCTAATCGATGATTATTCGGAAATCGTGAGATGCGGTCTGGTGTGTTCTTCGT